GGGAAAAGGACAGCCGCAAGGCCTTGTCTTCTAGGTGGTATCGACTATGTTGGACTTTTCTGGCTGCAAATTGTGAAGGCATGCCGGCTGCTCCACTTGACCCCGCCAGGCGCTTTCCGACGTGCTACGAATGCCCGAGCTACACTACCCAGAAGACAAGGCCGTAGCGCGAATATTTTTGCGTCACAAGCGAGGGCCAACGCTGGCCAGAGGTTGGACACTGCGATTGCGTCAACGTTCGGCTCATACTTGACTCGAAGCCGAGCGCTGACGAAGCGCTTGTTTCCAACCTGTGTCCAGCGATGGCCTTCCCTGATGACGCCATATAATTCAGCACTACGGCCCTGTCTTCATGGCGGTGTTGGCACGAGGCGGTGGAAAGCGGTCTTCCTTGCTGACGTCACACCCTCCACTCTCGCATGCAGATTTCGGGAGGACTCACGATATGGCGCTGTCCGAGCGGAGCAGCAAACACTCACACCTTAAAGACGACTAATCCGACCTGCTATACGTACGGCGTTGTACATACGCTTCACATGCTACCATCATGCCACATGTCTGCTGAAAAACAAAAACGACGATACATTGGCTACATCACTGCACAATATATATATATATATATATATATATATATTTTTTTTTTTTTTTTGCGACAGTGTTTACGCAGGGAGAGAGCCAAACTTGGTAAAACATTGAAATGTTTTTTTTTTTTACTGTTTCCTGTTTCTCGCTGTTGTCTGCAGCATCGGATGAGCAATTGCCAGAATGCAGGCTAGGCTGACTCATTTTCTGCGTGACATACAACCCCCGCCACCGGGGGTGGTAGTACTTTATGTCGTGCAGGGTTCGAGAATAGTACTCAATATTTTTATTTATGTAAATTGCGCGACACACACACGCCTGATGCGATTAAGTTTTTAAATACTGAATAGTTCGCGTTTCCTCCCTGTCGAGAGATTCCTCGGCGTTTCTGAAATAATTTCAAACATGTTTCTTGCAGTTTTCAGTGTGTGTGTATGTGTGTGTGTGTGCGTGTGTACGTGGGTGCGTGCGTGTGTGTGTGCTTGTGTGAGTGTGTGCGTGTGTGCGTGTGCGTGTGTGTGTGTGCGTGTGTGTGCTTGTGTGAGTGTGTGTGTGTGTGCTTGTGTGAGTGTGTGTGTGTGTGTGTTTATAACAAATAAATGTATTCCTGAATGTCCTTTGTCATGCTGACACCGCACCTCGTAGAAGGCAGGTGAAAAAAAAATAAAGCACACATACCAGTTGTGTTTTTAGAAACACCTCTAGCTTTACGGTAAAGTTTCAGGTTTTCGGCATTTATTTCTAACACGATTCGTCATAATGAATTGGAGCTAATTTTATTAACATAAAATTCACATTCAACGGTGTCTATTCTACATTTTCGGGACTTGAGATGACAAAATCGGTAAAAGAAAAATATTTAAAAAAGCAAACAGAGGACACAAAAGCGCGAAAAAAATGCAGTGATATAAATGTAGTTTTTTTTTTTTTTATTTCTTGCTTGAGTTTTTTTTTATAATTGCATATCCTCAAAAACACAACGTTATGATTACCGGTGTCCACAATTCTGTCAGCTTAGTAATAAGCTAATATATGGCGAATAAAATGTTTATTAACGCTGAATAATTCATCAGAATTTTAGCGTTTACTCCAGAAGGCTGAGTTGAATTGTACGTGCATCCACAGTTGTGGTTATTATTATTATTATTATTATTATTATTATTATTATTATTATTATTATTATTATTATATCAAAATCAAGCCAGCAACTTCACGACTTATATAAAATTTCCAAACGAATCTGGGTGGTATATAGCTTCCCCGCATATGACACCGCTAAACTCGGGAGGTTATTTGCGGTCTTCCTGTAACGTTTTCGATTAGGATTTTATTAAATTCGAAGTAATCTATTGAATAACATAAATTAAGTAGTAATGTGCGGTAGAAGAATGTAATCGACATATTACCAAAAAAAAATTGAAAAAAAAAACAGATACAAAGGGAAGAAAAAAAAAAAAGATACACTTCCCATTGGGTTACGCGCTTTTCCTTGTGCTCTGGTGTAATAGGAGAAGCCTGATTTACAGTCTGTAAACGCAACTTCGTTTTGATGTAGAAATCGATCACGTTACAAGGAAGGCGAGAAAATTTCAAATGATTAACTACGGAGATGAAGTGCCTGCATAATAATAAAATATACACTGATGCGTAATTTAGTCCATCCTAAGTAATGTAACGTGACAAATGATGTGATAAGTAATGTAAAAAGTAATACGGCGAGTAATGTAACCTATCATTGTTCGCAAAAAAAAATATTTGCGAGATCCATAATCAACAGCAACCAATGCGCATTTAGAAGAAATAATGACACTTACTAAAAACATTTAATTCTTACAGAAATTTAATATACCAGTGTGAACATGTGAGACAAAATAAATATAAAAATTCGATAGTACAAAGTACTTATAAAAAAAAAAGAACACAACAGATTTCCCTTGTATTCCGCATCCTCCACACTCACATAAAAATGCGTTTTTCATTTCAAACAGTATTAAAATAGAGCGATCGATCGAAATCATCAACCAAATGACAGACGTGCAAATAGAGTGAAGCTACTGCTACAAAACAATGTAACACCCGCTCCTCCATCGATCTTTTACTACACGCTATTTTTAATCAATACCGCCGCACTATTTATACGTATATATCAAGACTCGCTAGTGAAGTTGAAAAGCTGCTTTCCTCGCTGTTCCGAGGTTTTTTTTTTAGAAAACCACGGCACCCCAAGAGCGCGAGTGACGAGAAATACTACGAAACAACATCCGCAGCCTGACCCGCCACACGAAGGATGTTCTAACTTTGTAAACGCGGTCTTCTCGGGTATTTCCCACAAGGACCCCGAACGAGCCGCCAGTTCATTAGCAAGCCGAAAATGAGCTCATCAGTTTCGCCCCCGCCCCTTTCCCGGCGCCCCTCTTAGAGCTGTAACGCCAGCTATGATTAGAATAGCCTCAAACGCTCCGCACACTAAACCACATCGCTACAAAAAACAAAAAAAAAAACGCATTAAATAACAGCAATTAACAAAAACAAAAATGAGACAGGGATAACGGACGACAAACACAAAGACGCAATGAATGACATGCAACATTTCTGCCGAAAGGTGCGTTGCTCTTTCCCTTTCCACTTTCCCCCTCTCTCTCTCTCTTTCTTGCTCCTTGGGTTGCAAGCGAGGGCGATTCGTTACGTGGACACGCCGTGTCTTCAATCAAAACCTTGCCTCCTCGCGTCAACAAGCGATAGAAGCTGACAAACAAAAACGGTAATAGATGTGACTTCATAACATCCCTAAAAAAAAAAAAAAAAGAAAAAAAGTGACGACAGAAAAAGAAACAAAATACACTTAAAAGAAAAATAACAGATCCATGGTTCCAGCCTCACTCCTTCCTCCGTGCACCGAGTGCTTAGCTGTCACGCCGCCGACGTATTTACGAGAAGAAAAAATAAAAAGCAATACACACACAAACGCAAGCAGCACACGCCTGCTCGGAAGCATCCCGGATGTGTCTGGGTATTTGTGTAACCTTCGGTGGGTTGCGTTGTGGGTGCAAAACTGGGAGACATCCAACCCTGTCTGCTTTCAGCTTCGTTCGGTTTAAGGGGAAGGCTATTGTGGTGTCTGGACAGTGTCTCTCTTCGCCCGCATAAAAAAAAAAAAAAAAATCTACTCAATTATTTTACTGGACGACCCTTCGGCACCCGTTTCAGACTTGTTGATGTGCTATTTTTTGTTTCATTGGGTACTCAAGTTTTTGTATTCCCAGTGTGTTTGTGGATTCTCAAGGCCGTGAGATGACCCACCATGACCTCCAATTCCAGCTCTCAGATATTTAAACTTTTACGTTTAGAATTCTGGAGAGCTCCCCGCCTAAGCATGTGAAACATGTTAAGCCATGCAGCCTTACTGCACCTCGACGTGCGCGGGATGACATGCCGCTTCTTGCCATGTTACGCTAAACCTGCAACAATAGAATCCACCCTACGACCGATTATTTTTGTTGCCAGCGCAAACACTGCAGAAACGTATAAAGAATGTTCCAGACATACTGACATTTAGTGAACTTCACCAGTGAAATTATTTTCTCAAAGGAGCAAACCAAAACGAAAGCTGGAGAGAGCACAAAAAAGAATAAGCGAGAGCAGCACCATTTCGGCACGAGGCCTAGCGATGAAACCAAGGAACCCTTTACAGGTTGCTACTGGGTCCGAAGCTATCCTCCAACGCATTAAAAAAAGACCGTCTGCAAAAGTCGATCAATTAATTCCGGAACAAAAGAGGCAGAACAACGTAACCCGCGGCCATTGTCACTTTTTTTTTTTTTTTTTCAAGGGCACCGTCTCGACGAGGTCGACGCCAGAAAAGGGGTGGCTTCACCGCGGTACGGCCATGTCTAACGCGACCGACTCCAAGCCCAACTTTATCCGTGCCCCGGAGCCATCCGCAGGAGCGAGAGAACACGAGCGTAGCAGGTGGAATTCGAACCCTAAACGCGAACACAACTTACTTCCAGGGGTATTTTACTGTACCCTTCGTGCGTGTCGTAGCTCACAGGTTGACAAGAAAGCAGAAAAAGAAAAATGTTCGTGAGCACGCGAAGAAAAAAAAAAAAGGCAGTGGGCGCCGAATACGCGAAGCAGACAGCCGCGAACCTTTTTAACGAACACCTCCGAATCCGTCTCCGTAAGCTTCGCGGAAAAGGCGCCTCCACCACATCGCCTTTTCCCCGTGAAAAAAGGGACTGAAAAAACGCCGATTCGGTCTGGGATTGCCCGCGATTCGGCCAAGAACTGGGGCAGTCCCGTTCGTGTAGCAGACGGCTCGAGCAGGCAGAAAGAGCAACACGCGGAGAGCCCTGGGCCGAGGAAGGAGCCATGGCTGCAGGGGAGCCGGCGGCAGTGTCCCACGCATGCGCACTCACCTCGGCATGCGCCTTGGGCTGCGCTGGTGCTGCAAGGGCGCCGTGGGCAGCGCTGCCGCAATGGCTTCCGCGCTCGGGCAGTCCGTCCGGGCGGATTGTTGCGGAGCCGCGCGGGGCGCACACCGGGGACCGGTCCCGTCACAGGGGTCGCGCAGGGGACGCGGCGCAATGCCGCGAGCCGTTTCCGAGTCCTAGCTGCCGACGGGAGCGCGCCCGCAGAGCAGGGGCTGCGCCGACGCGCCGTCCGCACGGAGGTCCCGGGAACCCTGCTCCGCCATCTTGGAGCGAGCGAGGCACGCCGGGAAGAGCGGAGCCGGGAAACCGAGGGAGAGGAGGCCGCGGCGAGGGAGAGGGGAGGCCGTCTCGGTGGAGGAGGGAGCATTAAAGGAATTTTAAAATAAACTCCGGCCGCTCTTGGCCTGGGGCCGCTTGGGGAGGAGGGACGGCCCCGTATGGAGAGTGGGATGTGTGGCTGTTAGTTTGCTTTATGTTCCGCTCGCTGATCGAATCGAAGACCCCAGAAGACTTTTTGTTTCTCCTTTGCGTAGGTTAATTTCTACTGTTGCTTTCCAGCTGCGTCTCGCTTTTAAGCGAAACGAGCAAGGGGTCGAAAGTTATACAATGTAGTTCGAGGACCCACGTTTCCCAGGCCCCAAAATGAAAAGAAAATAAGTTCTCCGTTTTCCGCACTGCAAAATCAAACGGCCGTCAGTGTTTCTTTTACACTTTAGCTTTTTTGTTTATTTTAAAGCACCGCAGCGAAGAAGCACATGCGAAACCTTAGCATATTTGCTTCATTTTTTTTTTTTTTTGAACATCGATGCACGATTCGGCAAATCCTTTCATTTCAATCAGGTAACTCTCAGCGCTCAATTTGGTCAATTACGAAAACAATAGGGCTAATTTAAAGTAAAGAATTAATCCATAAAATACTTCAACTGACAGGATCTATATATTTAATTTGATGCCAAATCGCCATCGAACGCGTCACCCACGGACCTCCTGCAAGTTATAATGATGCTGCTCCGCACGAAGGGTGTGTATGAGGAGAAACAAACCTCGCGTTCCCGGCAGCACCTAAATTGGAATATTGATCGAGCAATACTGTACGTCATCATTGGGCGCAATAAATGGTCCGAAAGGAAGTTGTTTTATATTAAAAATGAAAATTACGACACATTTAAATAGTTGTATTTTTATACACCTTTTTATTTATGGAAGTCTTTTAACCCAGAAAACACAGGAAATGTACCTATTTCAAATGCAAAACAACCAGAGGAAAGTTAAAAGATACATGTATATTCTTCAGTTATGTTACACAATTTTGAACTTCGTATAAATATGTACAATTTAATTTTCTTTCTTTCGTTTTTTTTAATGCTGGATTATTAAAGTATTTTTTAGGTCACATATGCTCCTAGCCAGAAAAAAAAGTGTGTTACGATTTACATAGCATTGTCTAAGATTGCTAAGTTTTGTTTACATCGCATGCATATGACGATTTATTATTTTGCTGTTTTATAATGTAAGATACCTGGCAACTCTGAGTGCTTACGTAAACCTTTACCTTACATATATTTATGTGTGCACAAACATGATCTCAATAAGTTGCAACCTCTATTTAACCCCCGTTTCACGGAAACCCTTAACTGCAGTTCAGCTTCCCCATAGTTGCCGCACTATACTTTCGGCCAGCTATTTCAAAAGATTTCAGTGAAGAGCGCGCGAGCACAACTTTGACGGGCGCCCAAGATGCACAATCGCACGTGCTATCGCTTTGACTGCATAGCCACAGAACGTTGTCCAAATGTATAGTGTGACAACTGCAATTACGTGTGCCCGTTTAATAATGGGATTAAACGTTAAAATCAGCACTCACTTTCGAATAACCAAAACTAGGATCCCTTTAACCTTACGCTAGGTTGTAGCTGATGCTACGAGCCGATCAGGTCAATAAAGCAGCGCTAAAAGGGCAACGCCACGGCGCTCTTTGTATCTCTGTACGTTAGCTGTTACCGTGGTTAAACTAATCAAGTGTATAGACACTGTGCCTTGACCTTGCGTTATTGGTGTTTGAGTTTGCAGGTCTTCGTGTCTTCTATGCGAACTGACAACTTGAGTCTGAACACCTCGTTATATCTTCGCGGTTGTTGAGATTGCGCCGCTGTTGGCCAATAAGAACGGCAAAGAAGGCACCATGAAGCAGAATGCGTGAACGTAATAACTGAGTTTCTTAAAATGTCAGTGACTATAAAACTTTAACCGGTTGTCGCTAATGGAACCCGTGTATTTCTCCCTCTCTCTCTCTCTCTCTCTCTCTCTATATATATATATATATATATATATATATTTATACATGTGTGTGTGTGTGTGCGTTTCCTTTTTTTAGTATACCATATGCTTTTTGTGGGAGACATCATTAGGTTGTTGGATGCAACTTGGAACTAACAAACAAAGCCAATAGAATGCTTGCGGAACTTCGAAATTATTCCAATTTCCCGTAGCTCTGACTCAACACGAGACGAATTAAGTATATTGTCAAATATCAGGAGTGTGAGATACCCCAAGACGAAACATGCGCCCCGAAGAGCGAATGCGCGATTGCCTGAACGCCTGCCAGCGCTTTCCGCTTGCGTTATATTTATTTTCCCCGGTGCTTTTTTTAACCCTTCCTCGTTTGCCCAGGCGCAAACAAAGGAAGCGTCGATGATGACCTTCAGAAGCTCAAGGCGCCGGGCCGAAGCGGGAGCCTAATCGTCACGTGACACGGGATGACGTCACACTTCGCTGCCAGTTCTCGTAGCCACGCCCCCGCTCAAGTAAAGGTATATCATCCATCATCTATTTTTGTTTCTTCTTACAATTTTCTAATCGCTCAGGTGTTTAAGGAGCAAAGAACGTGTCTCGCCTCTTGCTTCATTTAAACGGCAGTTGTATAATTTAGTTTTTTTCTTTAACGCAGAGAGTTATACGGCTGCCCACCATTAACGAATAGCGATTAAAAACCTGGCGAATGCATCTTATGCATTATTACGAAAAAAAGAACCCCCACCGGTGAATGTTATATGCAACTCACGTGAATTCGCGCGTGTACTGCTCGGTTGTGAAATTAGAGAGCTCGAACGTACGTTATCGACGGTTCTGGTAATGCACGAGCATTAAAACAAACATTTGCATTGCACCAGAGAAGAACGTCCTTTTCAGCTTAGATGTAAGTTCGTGAGAAAGGTTTTGTACTTTTTGTATTATTACTAAACGATTCTGAAATAAACAACATTGAAAATTCGAACGTTACTCCCCAACACCTCAACTCTTTTTTTTTTCCACAAATACTACAAAGCAAAGTTATTTAAATTGAATTGTGCAGGTGGAAATGAATTCTTTTATAAAGTATCGGTAACTCGATGTACCTTTTTTTTATCATCGTGTTTTTATTTATTTAGACACGTCAAGTTTAATTCAAATGATAGAATAACAATGAATATGTAGGCAGTGTGTTTGAAATGTCATTTAAAATCCACAGCGTTCATCAAATATCAAATTGAAGCATTCCTCTTCGCAGTGTTTATTCAAATAATTGTTAGATTCAAACTTAAGAACGAAGAGCGACGAAGGAGAAGAAGAGAGAAAATTCCGTCTCGATAAAAAGCAGAAAAGAAAGGGAGAAAGTCGGGCAATCTGACAATCTCGACAATTCAGCGTTTTCCAGCCGTCTTCTTAAATCGTTTCGATTAACGATATTCTCCAATCAATATCATGAACCTCTCGTATATTAACTCCGTCCTGTGTTGCCCCCCCCCCCCCCCCCCCCCCCCCGTGAACGTTCAACTTCCTCCTCTCCTTTGTTCCCCCCTCTTCCTTTCGAATCATAAAATAATTTATTCACAAAAAAAATCGTTCAATTTCCGTCCGGTCGCATGCCACTTTCCTCCCCGTAGTATGAATCTGAAAGTCCATAAAAAAAACTCACAAGAAAATTAACTACAACATGAAAGAAGACCGTTATAGGATTGAAAAAAAAAAATTAAAGAGGAATCTTTTTACGACGGCTGCGTTAAATCAGTGCCTGCGCGCGCGCACATACACACGCACACACAGGCACACTCACGCATACTCACTAAGTCACTCAGTCACTCACACACTCATGCACACATACATACATGCATGAGTAAACACACGCACGCACACGTAGGTGCTAACACTTTGGGCTATACGCAATAGCAAACCCAGCGCCGCTCTCTTCTCGAACGGCAGAGAAAGAAGTCAGTGATAGCGCTTTTGTATAAAACGTAAAACAAAGGCTTTCAGTATTTCTCATATCATACACGCCATTCTTAATCTCGTTTCCTTACTACCACCACCATTACCAGCACCCCCTTTTCCTAGCCCCTTCCCCCCCTCCCCGTATATTAGTAGTCATTTTAGCTTTACTGGAAATGTACGTTCCTGCGACCAATTGAAACAAACAAAACTGCGACGTCGTTCACTATCTTTTCCAATATGAGCGAGAACAAAAAAAAAAGGAAGTGCCGCCTTCTTTGTACATGTCACGACGGTGCCGAGGAGGAGCGTCGAAATACACCGTGAAGTAAATTCCCAAATGGTGAGCTAGCAGTAACTATAGCAACTACAATATACCGACAACACCAACAAGTTCACAAATAAACAACCAAAAAGCACCACACAAAAAAAACGAAATAAAAAAAATTAATAAACTAAAGAGGCGGCAACAATGTGCTATCTGAAATTCGCAGTTCCCCTCCCTTCCTTATTATCTTACTCGTTTAGTTTCTTTTCTTTTAAATTCCGGACAGCGCACAATACGTAAATGGGCAAATAAAATCTGAGGTAACAAAAAAAAAAAAAAAAAAAGAAATGAAGGGAAAGAGGTTGGGAAGGAGGAAGGAAGAGGAGGAGGGTGGTTACTGCTCGAACGCAAATGAAGCACACCAGCAAACCAGGCAACAATCTCGGCGTCCCCAACCCGACATTTCGTGGCGCGTGCTCTCGTTCGGGGGTCGGGCGCCCGAAACTACGAACAGAGAGGGTGGATACAGAGAAAAGAAAAACCGAGACAAACACGCAAAAGAGAAAGAAAAGGCCCGAAACTGTCCCCGCAAAGGCGGCGAGCGACGGAATGTGAGCGGGGGAGTGTGGGAGCACCGCTCACCTCGCCCGCCGTTTGCAGGAAGAAACCCATTCCGAAAGCAGCGAACAACGACCACGAGGAACGGAGGCAGAACATTTATTCACTCTGCGCATAGCTCTGTGGCTGGCTTTTGTGCGCGGCGTAATTTGTTTTGCGGGAGGAGAGAGAGCCAAG